GAAATTGGAGAACCAAGAGAAATTAAGGCAAACCCAACTTAAATCAAAGCTAAAGGATGAAATCATGGCTGTTTCTTACCTAAAAATCAAGGCAATTCGCCCCCACAAAGCAAGAGCAGCCGGCGATGAGGAGCAGAGCAAGGCAGATCCGGAAACTTTCCTGCAGGGGGGAAGATTTCAAGGCTCCAATTTGGTTTTTGAACAAGAAAAGGAAGGCAAAACCAAGCTTTTCCTACCGGTTTCTCAAGGCTGGTGCCGGGTTCCCTTTTCCGGCTGCAGCAGGAAGAAAGGAGAAGAAGAGCAGAATCGGGCAAGGCTGGGAAGAAGAAAAAAAATCCTCCGATCCTTATCCAAATTTATCCTTTTTAGGTCCCTCGAGTTTGGGAATGTTGGCTATTAAGCCCAAAACAATATTTCTTTCTCAAACAAGTCCCTAACTCACTTATTTATCCTAGAAATTTTTGGGGTATCACAAACTTGGTATAGAATCTAGCATAAGCCAAAGCTATAAAAGGAATAGGAATTTAACACATGAAGTAATTTATGATAAAAAGAGTAGAAAATTTGGGAATTAATCTAAAATCGAGACTCCAATTAGAGTCAAAGAACAAATGATTAGCACTAATGGTATCTGTTTAGATCTAGATTGCGTTACTACCCAGAAAAGATCATTAGTGACTGGGCTCAAGCTATTTGGATAGCCATAGCAAACAAAAACTGGAATGCTTACAAGCAGTTAGATTTATTGAAGTCACATTTAAAGGAATAGTTCACGACTGGTTTGCCAGTCTAAAAGAAGATGAGAGAAACACTAGCATAAGTGGAAATCCTACTTCTGAAGAAGTTAATGAAAATGAAGCAATTCAATACATAATAAATAAATTTGAATTAGCCATAAGGAGAGAATTTTTAGGTGAAAATTGGGAAGAAAATCAAGAAAAAGAAGAGGCTAGAATTGGAAGAATAGCAAAATGGAATTTGCAAAATCTACAACTATGTAATCTTTGTGAATTAGATCAATACATATGCTTATTCCAGAAATACTACTACAAGGCTTCAAATCATGGAATGACTAAAGGCCTATTAGAATTGTTCTTTGGAAAATTTCCTAATTCTTGGGGAATAAAATTGGCAGAAGCCTATAGAATATATGTAGAAGATAAGAAAGATACTTTAGGACTAAGGATTTGATTCACTAAAACCAAAATTAACGAATGGTGCATAGAAACCTATAGTCAAAACAAACCAAGAGAAAGGGACTTTGTTGACCTAAGAATAGTGATCCAATCAAATTAGGATGTAGTTACACCAACTACAACAAGAGAAACAAAAAATTTAGAATTAAGAGAAGTAATAAACAAAGATTTAATAAGAACAAATTCTCTAGAAGGAAAGAGGTATTTCAAGAAAACCAAAACTCCAAGAAAATATAAAAAGAATCCTAAAAAATACACATGTTGGTTGTGTAAAGAGGAAGGACATTATGCAAATGAATGCCCTAAAAGATACAAAAGAGAAAGTACAAAAAACTTAAAAATTTATGAAGAAGAATTAAGTGAAATAGATATTAACTCTATGAGTAGTGAAGAAAGTATATACAAAATTGAAAGTTTATATACTTCCAGTAGTGATGAATCTGAATATTGAAGAAGGAGAAGCTTATTCTGAAGGATATGAAGAACATGGAGAATATAGTCAAATAACTATATTTGATAAAAGTAATATAAAAGAATTAGACAAAAGGGAATAGACCTTGCTTTAGAAAAGGGATTCAAGTCCAATTCCTTTATAAGTAATCCTTTTAAAAGGAAAAATATAGTTTATTATGCAATATCCACAAAAGAATATAGTATCCCTATAAGAAATACAACAGGGATAATAAATATACCTTTAATTATTAAGGCAGAAATAGAAAGCAAATTGTCAAGAATCAAAGAAACCGATTAATCCAAGATAGGTTTCATCCACATATGAGGAATACAAATTCTTATTAAAGCTCATTTTAGGGAAAGGAGAGACACCTCTATAAAATTAGCATTAATAGACAATAGAATCAATGATAGAAAAGATGTTATCCTTGGATTAGTGCAAGGTAACCTTAGTTACCAAAAACTAATGTTTACAGTATATCCAAAATATGTTGTAAACATTAATGATAGAAATATTAATAAAACTCTAAGTTTAGCACATGAATTTGTTAGAGAAAATTTTATGAAAGATGGATCAATGCATACAGTATTTACTATATGATAAATTATGCATTGACCAATAGTCATTAATTTAATATTTTCAAAGATAAAGAATATACTAAACTAGATCCTATGTTCTATGAAATAGGACAAATTCAGAAATCGGAAATGATCACTGAAATAGAACTACCCAAAGAATGGGAAATAGATATTAGTGAGAAACCACTCTTAATAGGAGAAAGAGAAAAACCTAGATTAATGGCATATGAGTCAGGAAAACTATTAGTGAAAACAGAACTTGAACCAAGCCATAGAAATAGTATAGACTTTGGAGCTTTATGCTATCCTAAGAAAGATAAAGAGGTCTTAACCAGAATGACTAGTATACGAAGTGGTTTTAGATACATTAAAGATTCCTTCAAGGCATTTCAAAATAAAAGGAGACTATTATGATGGGAACGAATGGCATAACATTTCTATCCTAATAGATATAGGAGCAAGAGTAACACATATCCATAGTGATATGATTCCACACCTACAAAGATTTGAACTCACTAAACCATATACATATTACAACTTTAATGGTGCAATGACCACAGTACATGAATATACTAAAGTACCCCTTTGAATTGAAGATAAAAATAAGATTCAACATGAAGTTACTATAACAATTCATGCTGAAACAGAAATGGCTACAAGTATAGAATTGATGTTAGGAAACACATTCTTAACATTAGTATAGCCTTATAACATTCAAGAACATTGTCTAAACATTACCTTAAGTGGAAAGGAAGTAATTATACCAAGATACTATGAAAACTAGTATCTATAGTGTATACATATCCGTTGGAATTAAGTATGAAGAATACAAAATAGAATTCTTTCATGCTTTTATAGATACAAGATTTGGGATATGCTTGGCAAAAACCAATGTATTCCCAAAATATTATTGAAAGAACACCTCTCAAACTATGAAAGGTGCAGCCATAGATGGAAGTATTATTCAATATAAAATAATAATAGAAAGAGTTACTGCCATAATTGGCAGAATTGAAGTTATAATTCCCTAAGTCTACGAAAGTAATGAACATGGGAACGATATTCTATTAGGAAACAATTTCCTAAGTCAATTCAAGCAGTATGTTCAAACTGCATCATATGTAAAATTTTATACACCTTGTGGACATTGGCTTTATGCCTCTAAAATTTATAATGCTGACACTAGAACAATAGAACCATTAAATTTTCATAGCCAACGTGGTGAGGATAATAGAAAAATTCGATCAAAAGAGATTAAAAAACTAGTGTTAGCACTATGGAATAATGAAAAAACACAAGAAGAAATAACCCTAGAATTTATTTCAGAAAAATTAAGAAGTAATGATGGAAAAGATCCGATAAAACTATGGGGGATCGATAAAACTTACGCCACTATCAAATTGATAGATCAAAAAAATATCATTAAAGTCAAACCAATGAGGTATAGCCCTGAAGATAAAGAAGAATTTGATAAGCAAATTCAAGGGTTAATAGCCCAGAAGATTATACAGGTTTCAAAGAGTCCGCATGCTAGTCATGCCTTTATGGTAAGAAATCATAATGAATTAAAAAGAGGAAAAGTTAGAATGGTTGTCAACTATAAACAACTTAATAGCAAAATTAAATTTGATTGTTACTTTTTACCACATAAAGAAACTTTAATCAATAGCATTAGGGGAAAGAATATATATTCAAAGGTTGATTACAAATCAGGATTCTGGCAAATTAAGCTAACTCTTGACAGTATCCCACTAACAGCCTTTAGTGCCCCTACAAGAC